ATATGTGTGTGTATATATAATTTATATATATGTATATATAAATTTTTCATGGATACTCAGCCAATTTTTATAATTATTACCATTACTACCACTCTTAATTGTTTGCCTCTCCTAGGACAGCAGAGTGCCCTTGATCTTGCACTCTTGAGTAATAAGAGCTAAAGCAATATATCTGCTTTATGCAGTTTGAATGGGTTCATTAATATATTTAGTATATATTCAACTGGCTGCTGGACATCCCACTGCATACATCCCATTGAAACTAAACATCTTTTCCTCCATGCTTGCTCTTTCTGACTTTCTGCTGTTAAATGATTAGCCCTTCTCCACCCAGTTACCTGAGCCAGAAACCTCAGCACCTTTAAAACATTTTTTTATAATTTTGTAATAATTATAAGCTTACAGAAAAATTGCAAGAATAGTATAAAGAACCTCTGCTTTTGCCCAAATTCCCTAACTGTTGACATTTGCTTTATCATTTTCTCTATGTATATTATTTACATTTGTGTTTATTTATAGTGTGTGTGTATATATATATATATATATATATATGTATATATTCCTGAACCACTTAAAAAAGTTTCAGATACAAAGCCTCATTATCTTTAATATTTCAATATGTATTTTCTAAAAACAAAAATATCTCCTATGTCACTGTAGTCATCAAAATCAGGAAAATAATAGTGTTAAAATACTACTGTCTAATCCAGAGATCCCATTCAAATTTTGTCAGTTGTCCTAATAATATCTTTATAGCAAAAGGATTCCATTCAGAATCATGTATTCCACATAATTGCCATGTATCTTAATTTCTTTCACTTTAAAAAAATTCTTTAGGTCTTCTTTTGTTTTTCATGACCTTGATCCTTGAAAAGTACAGGTTTATGATTTTGTAGAATGTCCCTCAGTTTGGGGTTGTCTGATTTTTCCTCATGTTTAGATTCAGATTACACATTTTTTGCAGGAATGTCACAGAAGTGTGTTCTAAATGCCTCTGACCATGAGGCACACAATGCTGATTTGTCTCATGACTGCTGCTGGTAACTTTGCTCACCAGTGCCAGATTTCTATACTGTCAAGTTTCTAATTTTTCCTCTGTGTAATTAATAAGTATTTGCTGGGGAGATATTTTGAGACTATATAAATATTATAAGTCTCTTAATACTGTCACCCTCTAGTTTTAGCATACACTGATGATTCTTGTCCAAATCAACGGTTAGTTACTATCATGACTGCCAAATAATGATGTTTCTACTTATAACACTGTCTACATTCATTAGTTGGCATTTTTATGTAAAGAAGAGCTTTTTCTTTATCCCAATTTTTCAAAAAAATCATTTATTCATTTTAATATGGGCTCAAGTATTCCTATTTTATTTAGCAGACTATAATCCATTAACATCATATTGGTGCTCAGACTGACCCAGATGTGGCCAATGGAGGCTCCTTCAAGCTGGCTTCTGTGCCCTTTCTATACGTTTCTTCATTCTGTATTAACTTCCTTAATTTCTGATGCAACAAGATTTTCCAGACTGCTGTTATAAAATTAACCATTTCTCCAAGGGACCCGAGTTACTGTCAGTGAATAATAGTGTTTAAAAACCAAGATCTAGGCACATGTGCTCATCGCTTCTAGCATACCATTACTCTGAAACTCTTTCAGCAGATAGAGCTAGGAGGAATATAAAGATAGATACGTATACACATATACAGACATACTTTCCTCTATATTTCTACATGTGTTTATGTATGTATTGAAAACTATGAGTTCACACTGACATATTCAATTCCAATCCAACATCATCACAAAGGTCATTGTGGAATTCCTCCTCTCCCAATTTGTAACTTCCTTCTCTGTCAATGAGAAACCTGGCTCCCATGAGACCTAACATATTTATTTCCTCACTCCTTTTTCATGCTTGCTACCTCTTTACTTGGCAAGGGGAAGGGGAAACAGCTGGTCATCGTTTTTTATTCTTTCTTATCATCCACTCTTCCATCCAATCAATCACTAAGTCCTAACATTTTTATCTCCTAAAAATTTCTCAAATTGGTCCATTTCTCTCCATTCTGACTTTTCTTAGCCTCGGCCATACCACCTTTGTCTGTTACATGGCTTAGAGCAATGCATCTTAACTGGTATTCCCAGATCTAGATTAGCTTCTTTCCTGTCTCTGAGGGAATGTGTTCTCTTGCTGCGTCCACAAGGGGGCATAGTTTCCAGGGCAAGAACTTCCAAGTACCGTATTTTCTCCCCCTCCCATCCATCTTCACCCGGAAGATTTAACCGCTTATGTTTAAAGCAGGCGCAGGAAGAATCAAAAGTCAATCACTCCAGCAGAAGTTCTAAGGAACTCCTTTCATCGGCAGGGGTCTTAGAGAAGGTGGGGGTTCCTCCCAGGTTAAAAGTCCCCTTCTTCCACAGCCCTTCGGACTCCATGTTTGGGTCCCCTTCCACGAACACTCCCTTCATGGGAGCTGCCTTTCTCTTTCCTGGATTTCCCCCTTTGGAGTCCCCTTCTGCACTCTCTCATGGAAGCCTGTCTTCCCTTCCTAAATTCCATCTCTCTCTATTCCCTTCCACTCAGTGTGGAAGCTGCTTTCCTCTCCTGATTCCATCTTCCTGGATTCTCTCAGTGGGAGAGTTAGCTGTTTCTTTCTCTCTCCTTCTCTGGTTTCCCTCTCTCTCTCTCTCTCTCTCTCTCTAAATAAATCACTTTCTACAAACACTTTTGAGTCTGGCATTTACTGCACACTGCACCATGGTTGCCTCTCTCATTCTTGAGAGGGCAGGAGACCAACAACCTGGAGAAACGTCCTCTCAGGGGAGCTGAGGGCACCCCTGAACCCCAATAGAACATCTCCACTCTGCAGCCATAGTTATCCTTATGAAATTAAAATTTGAGATTTTCACTCCATAGTTAAAATTCTTCAATGGTATTTCATTGAATACAGTACTGTCTGGGTCGCCTCATAGCTTGTTTAATCCTCTTGTTTTATTTCCTCCAAAAGCTCCTAGCTTCATTCTCTATCTTTTAGTTAGCCAACTTGAACTTTTTTCTTTTTTTTCAGTTCTTGTGTTATACCAAACTTTCTTTTGATGAACACTATATGCCACCTGCTTCTACCTGAAACCCTTCCTAACCTGGACAACTCCACACATTATTTTGGTCTTTACTTAAATGTCACTGCTGCTACGAAATATTCCCTGATCTCTCCCACCCCACTGCACCTCTACATGCTACTGTAAATTCTGAAGCAAGAAATGATAAGTGTTACACATCAGCTAGTCGGGGGATTGTATTCTGAAAATAACTCTCCACTGAGAATGAGCAGCCAGAGTTATAACCTCTCTTTAGAAAAGTGGGTACTTAATTGCAGTTGTGAGGACAGATGAAAAGTGCATAAAACACTACAATGCATAGCTCTTAGAAGGAGCTCAATATATGTTAACTACTTTTCATCCAACCAATGGTCATGAAATGACAACTATTTCATAGCTACTGTGGTAGATGCTGGGGATAGAAAAAATACAATGTAAACTGAAAATATAGAAGAGTGTCCAAAGTGTAATAGAGAATAGGAGTGTTTGAAGAAGTCAGTCAACCTGCTTAAGATTCAAAGGATGGGCAACATTTGGCTGTGACATATAGGAGTGTAAAACAAGGAATTTTCAGGAAGAGAGGACAATATGTGCAAGGACCCGGTGTGAAAGGCTATGGATTGTTTTTCATGGTACACATAATTCAGTGTTGCATAAAACTGCATGGTCCATCCTGGCCAACATGGTGAAACCCTGCCTCTACTAAAAATACAAAAACTAGCTGGGCATGGTGGCGACGCCTGTAGTCCCAGCTATTCTGGAGGCTGTGCCGGAGAATCGCTTGAACCCAGGAGGCAGAGGTTGCAGTGAGCCGAGATCGCGCCAGTACATTCCAGCCTGGGAGACAGAGTGAGGCTCCGTCTCAAAAATAAATAAATAAATAAATAAAACTGCAAGGTACACATAATTCAGTATTGCATAAAATTGGAACAAGAAGCTAATGAGAGATGAAATTAGGGACATGGAGCATTTTGTATCCTAGGCAAAGTAATGATTTTCTCTTACAGATTGTCTTTCAAGAATTTTCAACAAGAGAGTGGCATTATCCGATTTACATTTTTAGTCAGGTCATTCTGACAGTGTGGAGAATGGAATTTAAGAGTTAAAACTGGAGTTAGAGGACCGGTAAAGGGCCCCTCTGAGGAAGTTAAAAGTAGAGAATGTATATGCTTTGGTAGAAGATGCATTTAGGATACTGTACAGTTCTTACTAAAAAACACTGGGAGGATTGTGGCAGCTTAAAGCAAAATAGAAATCTAGGGGAGTAGGTTTAGAGTGGAAAGTTGAACAGCTCAGTTTGGTAAGCACTGGATTAGTTTCCTCACAGGATTTAGGGACGAACATGACATAGTTTGTAGGGTGTGGCGATGCCAGTGAGAATGGAAAAGCTGGCCTTCATAAACTCTCACTGTACAAATAAAGCAACAGGTTACAGCGCGCGGCTGTAAGTACAGGAACTGGCCTGGATTCACGAGTCCACGAGTAACCCAACCACTATTTTTCCAGCCCTGGTGACTCAGAGCTGAAGATGGTGCCAGTGGCAGAAATCAGAAAAGTGGGTGGGAGCATTAGGTGTAGAAAAGGATGGCGTTTTAACTTCTGTTTTCCATACATAGGGAGGCAACTCTAAAGGAATCATGGGTAATTTTTTCTTAAGATTTTGTCTGTAGTACAACTCTTCATTTTCCACGCTTTAAAACCATGGTTTCTTTTGTGGGCGCGATCGCGTGGGGAGTGACAAGTCTGTTTCTTTGCCTCGTTCACTCATTTTCTTATTCTGGGCGGGTTCCACGACAGCCTCCCCAGTTGCCTTTGCCCAGCCAGTTTTTTTCCCTGAGCTTGCTACAATTCTGAGGAGGAAAGAGCATTTTCGGGGGCGAGAGCGGGTTAGACTCACGCTCTGTGGTGGCACCCGAACAATTTCGGGTCCCTTCCCGCTCCAAGTAGAGGAGACTCTTCCCGCTTGCGTGGCCTGGTGGCAGGAGCCTGGTAATGCCCCCGAAGCGCTGACCGGCCAGAAGCCTGAGGGCCCAGGAGCAGGCGTCGCCCAGCCCCTCCTCTCAGGCGGAGGCGTTGGCGGCGCGGGGGGCGGGTGCATCGGTCGCCAAGGCAACGGCGGCGTAGTCAAGCGCTGACGTCAGTAGGCGGCGCGCCGTCCGCACTGCGGCACAGAGCCGAGGCTTGCTCTGAGCCCGCGTCGCTGGTGGGTTGAGTGGCTGTACCACTGCCCCACTCCGCGCCCGCCCCACTAGGCGCGGGCAGTCAATTTGCACTGCTCCGGGTGTCGGCTCGGGCGGGACAGGCCGTTCTGCGTCCTCCTTTCCGTGAGTACCTCGTGGGTGCGCTGGTGGCTGGATCGCGGTCCCGGGTGTTCGGCCTGCTCGGCGCTCTAGAGCGCAGTGGTGTCAGGGCTGCTGGAGTCCGAGAGCGCGGGGGCTGATCGCGGACTGACCCGCGAGCGTAGGCCGGGTGTCTCGGGCGAATGCGATTTCTGAGAGTCCTCAACGTACTTTTCCTCTTCCTTCAGTGGTCTCCGGAGAGTTGAGCATGGTGCTGTGTTGGGGAATTCACGTCTTTGCCTTTCCTACTCCCGATTCTTGTTTAAATGCTTTTAAATCGGATGCATAGTGTTTATTTCCTTTTAGAGTGTTAACCTGGGTTAAATCTTCAACGTGTCAAAAGCCTTCTTAAAAACGTCTGAGGTGATCAATGTGATCACTTGTTACAAAAAAAGGTGATCAATGTGTTAAATGTATAAGAAAAGAACCAAATTATATTAATAGGTTCGTTTAGAGATGCATAAAAATAGAACAAAAGTAGACCATTTAAGAATCCTTATCAAACGGTTTTGCTGCGTTTAGCATTCCTGTGAAAACATCTAAATGTGAAAATAAAGCTTTTCTCTCTCTTTTGGGAGGTTGGGGAGGAAAGAGATGCCAACAGTTTTTTCACCTGTTGCATTAACAGTTGCTGTTATTGCTTGGGCTTTAGGAAGATTGCTTGTTACGAGTTATGAGTACTCTGGGAAATTTTTTAAAGAATGCTGGAAAGAAATTCAAACCAAAAGTGTTTTTGAACCATACTTAGAATCTTGTTTATGAAGAATAATGTTTATGAAGTTAGAATCTTGTTTACTTATGAAGAATCTGGTTGATTTATTCATTGAATTTTATATACAGGATTTTTGTTTGCCTTTTTTTCTCTTGCGATAACATTTGGTTAAGGAGCGAATTATCAGGCCTCAGTTTTTTCTCCCATTCATCTTGAGTCATATATTGGCTGATAATCAGGTGGTCTGTAAAATAAAATGAGATGAAATGTAGTCCATTTAATTTTCCTACATAGTATCTCTTAGAAGCTTCTGTAAAAGGGTTTGTGAGGGAAAAGTTGTAAAATGATGGAATATGCAAGATTCAGAGGTGTCTTTTAAAGTCTGTCCTGAATTTTTGCAGATAATGTTACTAACCAAATATTAGTAATTCTATCATGTGTTTGCTGTAGTGCACATTAGGATTTAGAGATGGCTTAACGCAGTGGCTCACACCTTTAATCCTAGCATGTTGGGAGACCAAAGTGGGTGGATCACTTGAGGTCAGGAGTTCGAGATCAGCCTGCCCAACATTGGTGAAACCCCATCTCTACTAAAAATACAAAAATTAGCTGGGCATGGTAGGATGCACCTGTAGTCCCAACTACCTGAGAGGTTGAGGCAGGAGAATAGCTTGAACCCAGGAGACGGAAGCAGCAGTGAGCTGAGATTGTACCACTGCACTCCAACCTGGGCAACAGAGTAAGACCCTGTCTCCAAAAAAAAAAAAAAAAAAGTTAGAGATGAGTTCTGTAATGTATTTTCTGTGTTATCGTTAAATAATGTTAGTGTTTTATTAGTTGTGCATTAAGCTATTAATAGTACATAAGTATATGATTTAGTTAATCATGTATTTAATTTGTATTTAGTTATTTTAAATACAACAATAATGGACATTTTATTGCAATGTACTGATTATTTTGCTTTTTGGTATTTTCTCTTTTCTTTACAGTAGTAAAGTAAGTACCATTTTAAATTCCCAGACAAAGAAAAAACAAGGATTAGAAATTAAGTAGCTTGCCCAAGGCCACACATCAGTAAGTGGTGACAGTAGAGTTCAAGCCCGAGTCTTTTTTACTCTAGGACCATTGCTACTGCTTTGTGTCTTCCCTCCCCTCGTCTCCTGTCCCCCCCCCTCTTGTCCCCTCCCCTCCTGTCCCCTCCCCTTTGCTCTCCTCCTGTCATCCCCCTTTTCTCCACTTCTCTTTCGTAGTGGCAGATACATAACTATAGAGAGCATTGGCCTGGCCCTCCAAAGCTAGCAGTTTTATGGGAGTCACAGAATATTTTACCAGGGTGGAAATTCAGGGTTAAGGTAGAGAGAGTTACAAAGATTAAGGCATCCTGGTAGCACAGAAGAGAAGTACTTAACTGCCCTTCAAGGTGAGAGTGCTCTCTAGAGAAGATATCATTTGCCTTCAAAGGATGGTGAGGAGTTTGTTAGAGTGACAAATGAGGAAGGACATTTTTCAGGAGAGGGGATATATGTGTAATGATACAAAGGCAAGAGAGGACTTCGCACATGTGAGGGCCTGCAGGTAGTTTCACATGGCTGGAACACAGTGTATGTGTGAAGGGGACATTTCATAAATAGCCTCCTCAATGGTAAGGACTTTATATTTTTTTTCAGTGTGCGATTGTGAGCTAGTGAAGAATTTTAAGCAAAGAAAATTTTGGGCCGGGCTCCAGGGCTCATGCCTATTATCCCAGAACTTTGGGAGGCCAAGGCAGGTAGATCACAAGGTCATGAGATCGAGACCATCCTGACTAACATGGTGAAACCCGTCTCTACTAAAAATACAAAAAGTTAGCCGGGTGTGGTGGCACACGCCTGTAGTCCCAGCTAGTCTGGAGGCCGAGGCAGGAGAATCCCTTGAACCTGTGAGGCGGAGATTGCAGTGAGCCGAGATCGTGCCACTGCACTCCAGCTTGGGCAGCAGAGCAAGACTCCATCAAAAAAAAAAAAAGGAAAAAAAGAAACGACACTGTCATATTTGAATTTTGGAAAATTACACTAGTTGCTATATAGATGATGACTTATTTTTTTTTTAAAGGGAAAGGTGATAGAGGCATGGAGACAATCTTAAAACAAACAGCATAATCCTTCTACATTTTGTCCCTCAGAGTTACTGTCTCATGTCACTGCCTTTAGGGGTGATGGGAAGACAGTTGGAAGAATTCTGTAAAGAATTGTCGGCCAGGCGTGGTGGCTCACGCCTGTAATCCCAGCACTTTGGGAAGCCGAGGTGGGTGGATCACGAGGTCAAGAGATCAAGACCATCCAGGCCAACATGGTAAAACCCCGTCTCTACTCAAAAATACAAAAAATTAGCTGGGCATGGCGGCTCACACCTGTAGTTCCAGCTACTCAAGAGGCTGAGGCAGGAGAATTGCTTGAACCCGGCAGGCGGAGGTTGCAGTGAACCAAGATCGCGCCACTGCATGCCAGCCTGGCGCCTGGTGACAGAGTGAGACTCTGTCTCAAAAAAAAAGAATTGTCTGCATGTCCCTTCTACAGGTCTCACCTTCTATTCGTTCCTCAGCTCCAGCCTACTAAATTTCTGCCCCTCCATAACAGCTTTGCTACATGTGACTCCCTATTTGCAGATTCGGTGGACTGTCCTCAAAACCTGCAGCCCCTTTTGATGCCACACAGTAGAGACTACATCTTCCTTAAAACTCTTTGCTTCTGTAATGGTTCTGTCTCCCAGTTTTTCACCTATCTCCCTGACTGTACTTTATATTGTGGGCTCACAGGCTTCTCATTGGCATTTCATTTTCTTGCAACTATCATATTTATAAGTAACTCCCAAGTCTTCAGCCTAGGGCCTCCCTGCTGAATTAATAGATTGCCTAACAAACATAATATGATTATATTCATAAACACACACACATATGACAGTAATAACAGTTGTCATTTTTGAAAGATTTGCCATGTGCTAGGCATTGTGCCAAGTATTTCACTTGCATATTCTCATTTAATCTGTACAAAAACCCTGTGAGTGATTTACTCCTATTACTGTGAAAGATTGGGAAATTGATGTCCATAGAGATTAATCTGCTGGCGTTTGGAACTGGTATTTGATTCCAGGGACCTGACAGTGGAGCTGATGCTTTGCTCAGTGCCCTTCAGACACCCAACTCAATGTGACCCATGCTGAGCCCAGTGACTGCACCCTAACAAACACCTGTTATAATTGTAGCTAATATTTATTGTTGTTTCTTCTAAGGTACCATTGCAAATCATTTAACCCTTACAACCCTTTGAGTAGGCACTGGTAGGGTGTTTTTACAGATGAGGAACCAAAAGTTATACAAGTGACTATGGGAGATTAATTCTAGGACATGGATTTTAAACTACTCCCCTAGTCTGCATCATATTACAGTTTAATGATACTGCTAATCTACTTGCTCTATTCTAGAAACATGGGAATCATCTCTAATTCTTTCTCCTGCCTATTCATTAGTTATGTAATCTTACTAAAATATTATCTCACTCCATCACGAAGGCTGGAGCTCACTGGTGCAGTCTTGGCTCACTGCATCCTCCGCCTCCCAGGTTCAATCAGGTTTCCTGCCTCAACCTCCTCAGAAGCTGGAATTACAAGCACCCACCACTATGCCTGACTAGTTTTTAGTGTTTTTAGTAGAGATGGGGTTTTACCATTTTGGCCAGACAGATCTCAAACTCCTGACCTCAAGTAATCTGCCCACCTGACTAATTTTTGTATTTTTAGTAAAGATGGGGTTTTACCATTTTGGCCAGACAGGTCTGAAACTCCTGACCTCAAGTGATCCGCCCACCTCATTCTCCCAAAGTGCTGGGATTACAGACATGAGCTACCCCGCCCAGCAGGCTTTTTTTGGTGACTCATAGTCATAACATAGTTCATCTTTTTTGCTGCCTATTGGCTGACCCTCATGTAGTATAAATATTAAGTTTTTATTTGCTTTATGATTTTTCTACTTTTGTGCTCTCAGGTTTCAGTTACTGATGCTGTCATTGCAGTTGCTTTCGCAGCTTCTCTTTTCTAATTTGATACAGACTAGAAAGTAGAAGAGTAGATTTATTAGATTTATAACTACTAGAAAGAGTAAATACAGGCTTCTGTCACTAAACTGTAGGAGTTTTTACTACATGGATTTACTGACATCTATTTTGTCTGCGTACTACATAGTGTTGCCTAAGTTAAGTGACATAGGTATGTTTACATAATCATTCCTTTCTTTTTAGAGTTTCTTAGACATTTCTGCAAGAAGAACATGAATGTGGATCTCCAGGGAATTGCAGCATTAACCAGTAATGCCTTGGGCCTGGTGTGGTGGCTCACAACTATAATCCTAACACTTTGGGAGGCTGAGGCGGGCGGATCACATGAGGTCAGGAGTTCAAGACCAGCCTGACCAACATGGTGAAACCCTGTCTCTACTAAAATTAGAAAAATTAGTCAGGTTTGGTGGCACACACCTGTAATCCCAGCTACTCGGGAGGCTGAAGCAGGAGAATTGCTTGAACCTGGGAGGCAGAGCTTGTAGTGAGCTGAGATCATGCCACTGCGCTTGACAAAGGGAGATTCCATCTCAAAAACAAACAAACCAGTAATGCCTGAGCCAGCTCTTTTTTTTTTTTAACACCCTTTATTCTCAAAAGCATGCATATTATGTTCGAAATGTTCTAATGTGAGAATATGTTCATTTTAGACATATACCCCCTTTTTTTAATAAAATGGGCAGTTTAGTAATATACATGCTGAGTTTAACCATGGTTTTGAGTAATTCTGACACACAGTAATACACACCCAAAGAAAGATGGTACAAATACTTGTACTATCCTCCTCTATTGTAGCAGAATTTTCAATGGCAGACACAGGTATTTGAATTCACTGTCTCTGCGTGTGCTGCCATCAAGCATGCTTTCATGTACTAGTGAATACTCTTAAGAAAGTCAATCCTGAGATGCAGCTTGGTTTCTTAAAAGTGTGTTGAAATGTTATTAATTTATTAAAACACTTTAAAAAGTTTATTAACATGTGACGTTAGACGATGATTGCCTTCAAAATTTATTTTGGTTTGTTTCAAATATATAAATACTTTATTCAGAGATGATCCAGTTTGTTTCCCTCGATTTTAGGGCCCTAAACTGATTCAAATGTACCCAAGTCATTTGCATAAGATTGGGATAAGGTAACATAGCTTTATTGGTATAAACTTAATGAAGTAGTGAACATACAATGGCATGATCTTGTGTAAAGAATATTTTATAATTTTTATTTGGAAGTTCCATATTACAAATACGTCCTCTTTGTTTCAACAGGATCCTGATTGAGTCAGTTCTTAACATTCTCAGTCCTCTGCATAAAGCTGAGAAATGCCTACCGGTAAGACTTTTATGAAACGTATGTATAAAATTTACATTTTATACATTTAATTTTAAGTTTGGTTTATTTTTATTTTAAGGGACTCTTTAACAGATTAATGAATACAGTAGGTGTCATTGACCAAATATGCTACATTTTAGAGATATTTATTGGTTTTGTATTCAGTTTTCTATTTAATGTTGTGATTAAGGTTAGTATGTATTTAATGGATGGTAGTTTGGGACTCAGCTGAACAAAGTAAATAATGATTACAACATAGGGTTAATTTTTATTATTTATCATCAAAATTGAATGCTTTACTCTACCACAAGCATTGGCAATCTTTTCTGAAAGGGCCAGCCAATAAATATTTTAGGCTTGGTCTCTGCTGTAACTACTCAACTCTGTCTCTTGCTCTCTCTCTTTTAAAGCATGAAAGCAGTTATAACAATTCATACTCAGATAGGCCTGTCTGATTTCAGTAAAACTTTACAAAAACAAGTGACTAGCCTGCAGGCCATAGTTTGCCAACAGTTGCCCTAGAGTACCCATTCATTCAACATTTATTAATTTAAAACATAATGACTGAGTATATATACTGTGTCAGACCTTGTAATAGTAGCTAGGGATGTGGTTATGGGAGAACCAAGCAATATATTTCTTTATATAGATATAAAAATAATTATACGATTTCCATTTGTGTTAAGTGCTGTGAAGGAAGAGAACAACCTGCTATGTGAGAAAAAGGAAAACTTAGATGTCAGATGTTTTATTTAGAGACAGCATTTAAACAGACAGGTTAACCCCCAGCCAGGTGAGGACTTAGAGGAAGCTTGCCTCAGAAACAGCTTCACGTGGGAAGGAGCTTGCTGTGATGGAGGAGCTAAAGGAAGGGTATTATAGCTAAAATGTAGGCATCTAAGAGGGTATTTATCTTGATTTCAAGCTCTATCTCTAGATCAGGAGGTATGGAACCCTGTAGGGCATGTGAAAGACTTATTTTATCCTAAATAAAATGGGAAACTTTCATGGGCTTAAGCATTATCTGATTCATGTTTTAAAGAAAATTTTTTTTAAATGTTAATATTTGTGGATTACTGATTACAGGCTGGGCAGGCTTTAGCCATTTTTCATGCAAAATGATCTTTGACATAGGATAATTGTGATTTTTCAGATAAGGAAAACGAAGTTCAGAAATGTTAAGTAACTTGTCTAAAGCCACATAACATGTAACTGACAGTGGTAGATGCTACCGTTTATCAGAAATAAAAAGTTAATTCAGCAAAGGAGACTTTTAGAGTCAGTGGCCAAAAAGGTCAGAGGGTTACAGGTGAATGTTGTATCACTAAAGCCAAAGTAAAAAGTATTTTAAGAAGGAAAGACTGGCGAGTTTTTCTAATGTAGCTAGAGAACTCATGCAGGTATTTACAAGACTTTATTTCTTAACATAATAGTAATGTAGGTTATGTGTTATAATAGAGTTGTTTACAGAATGACGTGACTCTCTTTTGTAGCTGAGAGTGAAGCAAAAGTAAAAACCAAAGTTCGCTTTGAAGAATTGCTTAAGACCCACAGTGATCTAATGCATGAAAGGAAAAAACTGAAGAAAAAACTTGTCAGGTCTGGAGAAAACATCTCGGTAAGTAATCATCATTTGGTAATGGTGATTTACATATCTGCATAAAATGGCTGCATATAATTAAAAACAGTAACATTATGTCATGGTCAATAACACATGGTAAAATAAAGTTGACGTTAGAATCAACGTTGCTGTTGGAGTATTGAGTTCATTCTTGAGTGCTGCCCTACAAGAAGAGCATGCACACAGTGGGGAGAATGACCAGAGATAGTGGGGAAACTCAAAATTAGCCATGATAAGATTTTTGTAAAAAATCAATATTTTTAACCCAGAATTGTGAAGAACTTAGGAAGTAGTATCCTAACTTCAGCTATTGAAGGGTTTGTGCTTGTTTAAACTTTTTTCTGTGTGGTTCTTGGTTCTACCCAACGGAACCAAGAAATTAATGGCCTCAAGGCAATAGTTATCCTTTTATGTTTGAGGCACACTTGCCAATGATAGAAATTTTGGCAGCACACTGAAGGGATTAAAAATACAGTGCTCAAAGTAACACTAAGCAAATCAGCAACTAACTACAATCTGATCCCCTTGGTATCATAAAGAGTCTGTATTGGCATCCACAGTTAATGCACTGTGCACTCTTTATACCTATCCCATTACTTCAGTTGCACTTTTTGCTACTTTGACCATTATCTTTTCTGTCCTCACAGAAAAAAAAAAATAGGTTATTGTACATTTCAGATTTCTCTCCAAAAACACTAAATCCAAAAGATAATAGAGGAATACTTAGTGTATTAAGGGAAAAATTGTAGCTTGAGGAATCTAGTCACCCAAGTTGTCAGTCATTTATGAGGGTAGTTGTAAACACGTGCTTTATTAGAGAAATATTATCAGTGTTCCCTCCCTAAAGAAAAAAACAAAAAATGAAGATTTATCAAAGACGTAGTACCATTTCTAGATGTGAATCAAAGTTAAGAATTTAAAAATAGAACATCTTAAGATCTTAGATGGAGAGATGAACAGAACTTCATCTCTTAACAGGGGTACAAAATATAGTTAGAAGGAATAAGTTCTAGTAATCAATATTACAGTAGAGAAATTACAGTTAATAATTTATTTCTAAATAGCCAGAAGAGAAGATTTATTTTTCCAACATGAAAAATAAATGCTTGGAGTAATGGATATCTCAGATCCTCTGATTTGATCATTACACATTTTATATATAGTATCAGAATATCACATATACACCCAAAATAGGTACAACTCTTATATATCAATAAAAAAAATTTTTAATGGGAAATTTATGAACTGAAAATACCACTGGATGATCTTTGAAATCAATTAAACATGTAGAACTTTCTTAATTATTATATATGTCCAGAATAATTCCTGAAGATTTTACATTAGATATGTATAATCGATAACGTGAGATAACAGAACAAATTGTTTTCAAAGATTGAGCAAAGCATCCTGGCTTACAAAGGAACGAAAAGTCATTAACTATTACTCTTATCCCTAGTTTATAGTCAGAAGTTATTATTTCATCCTAGAGTTTGAAATAAAACAAATGATATATAATATATAAAATATTATACTTTCTAAGTCATCAGCATTAAAAAAATCAAGTGAGACTTTTTAAAAAGAAAGTAAATAAAATTAAGAGCAAACTCTGTCATGACAATAAATGTAAATAGTTTAAACTTCCTATTTTAAAAAGCAGATTGAAAAATAGATTTTTAAAATATCAGGACCAGGTGTGGTCGCTCATGCCTATAAGCCCAACATTTTGGGAAGCCAAGGTGGGAGAATTGCTTGAGTGCAGGAGTTCAAGACTAGCCTGGGTAACATAATGAGATCCCATCTCTCAAAAAATAAAAACTTATCTGGGCATGGTGGTATGTATCTGTAGTCCTAGCTACTTTGGAGGCTGAGATGGGAGGATTGCTTGAGCCTGGGAGATGGAGGCGGCAGGAAGCCATGATCATGCCACTGCATTCCAGCCAGGGTATAGAGCGAGACCCTATGTCAAAAATAATACTAATATGAAATAAAATATCAGGTATTTTGCTTGCAAGATTCACACATTAAACAAAATGACAAGTTTAAAAGTGTGCAAAAATATAGACAGTTCTGAAAAGAAACTTACAGCTGTTTCATGAACTTGTATTCAAAGAACAAAAAATCATATATAAATATATGAACACATTGAAATTAATCATGTTAAAAGAATAATCTGTCTCAGCCAGATAGTTCCCCCAGGAACTCAAGAATAGCTTAATAATTGGATATCAGTCAATATTAATAAGCTAGTGCAAATAAATTGAATAAAAACCATATAATATAAAAATAGCAAGGAAAAAACTATCATTTTAATTGGAAACGGGACAGTAATGGATTTTTTAGAACATTTTGGTGTTTATGTATGTGAAAACCATATATGTAGGCACCAAACCTAGAACACCCTGTGTGGTTCTAGGAAAATGCAAATCCACACATATACATGGCATATTATGTATGATTTCAATAGTTTTCCATGGGTCCCTTTGGAAAGGGAGATACCTAGGCTGCAGCTTCTTCCTTTAAAATCAGGACCTGCAAGGGAAGATGTCTTTTTCCCAAGAACCAGCTCGGTCAGGAGACCACCACCCAGGCAAGCTGAAGGTATTGAGAGAGACAGACACCCAGATAGCCAACAGAGTGGATCTATCCTGGGGACCAACAGCCTGAGAGCCTGCGGGGCTTGCACCTCCCCGGGACTGAAGGCCCCGAACAGAGATTCATCCACGCATTTATTTGCTTATTGACAGGTGATTCCTATTAATACACAGGTGTTCTACATATACACATAACTCAGGAATATACCAAGTAGGCAGCTGTTACCCACGTACCACTTATTATAAACTAAAAGGTATCCTCCCCATGGGAGCCATGGGGGCAGGGTGAACTTAATTTTTCTCAACATCTTTTCATCATAACTGTTTAATAATCTTGAAGTAAATGTATTAAGGCATGTAACATATATGCTAGCTTTTTTTCAATAGGTATCTGTCCAAAGTGCAACAGATAGGTTGCACTTTATGTGTACCACGTGTTTCCAGATTAATTTTTAGGTTTAATCCAATTGTAACAGTCTCCAGTGGGTGACTTCTTTAGTTGACAAAATTAGACTACAGTTGATGCAGAAAAATACAACAGGAAAATAAACTATTAAAAAAAAAAGGCCAGGTATAGTGGCTCATGCCTGTAGTCCCAGCACTTTGAGAGGCCAAGGCAGATCACTTGAGACCAGTAGTTCAAGACCAGCCTGGCCAACATGGTGAAACACAGTCTCTACTAAAAATACAAAAAATTAGCCAGGCATGATATTGCCATACCTGTAATCCCAGCTGCCCCAGAGGCTGAGGCATGAGAATTAACTTGAATCCAGGAGGTGGAGGATGCAGTGAGCTGAGATCATGCCACTGCACTCCAGCCTGGGTAACAAGAGTGAAATTTCATCTTAAAAAACAAAACAAAACAAAAAATACAAAGAATGAGGAGAGTGTAGTTCTTCTAGATGTTTCAAGAAATTGTAAATATAATTAATTGTCTAGATGTTTCAAGAAATTGTAAATATAATTAATTGTCAGGTTGCTTTAGTTTTTGAGGGAAGGCATTTTATCTCACAAACTAAAAATTATATTTCAGATAACTCAAAAAATTTAAATGTAAAAATTGAATAGGCAGATATTTACATAAGAAAATTAAAATAGCCGGCTGGTTTAACCTTCCGGTGTGGAAAGATATTATGGTCTTCAAAGGGATAAAAGACCTTCTAAAATATTCTGGTCATAAAAGGGATAAAAGACTACCCAAATGAAGACAGTGTTTTCTGCCTGTACACAGAAGACTCTAAGTATTTGTTGAATGAATGAATGAATACATCTGATGTGTATAAGATACTTGTTTGTCAAAAACCAAATCTGACTCTAAGCCAGTTCACTGAGAAAAATACGTAATATTTTTATAGTCATAGCACTAATACTCTTACACATAGCTAATGATAATAATTGCTCATGCTTATTGGGCAGCTACATAATGTGGAATCAGAAGGACCTTCTGATATTTTATAATTATTGTCCTGTAATCCTTGGAACAACCTTATGAATAAGTTTCATTCCTGTTGTTAACTTGTAAAGAAGTTGTATAAATTGAAGCCATAAATATTAAGATTATAGCTAAGTGAGCAAAAGGAATGAAAAATAAAACCAGATACAAGAGAAAATAACATTGATTAATAAAATGTAGTAATATTTTAAAAGAAATTCAAATTGGAATACCAAGGTGATGTTTTTGCTTATCAAAAAGGTATTTAAAAAGTGTATTAGTAGTAAGGTATCAAGCAAGGCTTTTTGATAGAATGTTGGTAGAAAAGTGACAGTACATACAACATTTGATATGGTTGGGCTGTGTCCCCACCCAAATATCATCTTGAATTGTAATTCCCACAATTCCCATGTGTCATGAGAGGAACCTAGTGGGAGGTAATTGAATCATAGGGGTGGGTCTTTCTCATGCTGTTCTTGTGATAGTGAATACGTCTCATGAGATCTGATGATTTTAAAAATGGGAATTTCCCTGCACAAGCTCTCTCTTTGCCTGCTGCCATACATGTAAGATGTGACTTGCTCCACCTTGCCTTCCACCATGATTGTGAGGCCTCCCCAGCCATGTGAAACTATAAATTCATTAAACTTTTTTCTCTTGTAAATTGCCCAGTCTCAGGTATGTCTTTATCAGCAGTGTGAAAATGGACTAATACACCATCATTGAAGTGGTTCAGGTTTTTCCAGCAGTATTCAATAGCCTGGTTATAGTTATGGAAATAAAGTTCACTAAATTGGAACAGTGCCTGCAGTTTTACCAGAAAAGTGTGATGGATAGGAAGTACATGAAAATGGCAAGTGATGATTGAAGTGATGGATTGTGGGATCAAAGCATCAGGAATTAGATAAGAGGGGCTTGATAAATAAAGAGAATATGCTGGGCTCAGAGCATAATAAACTGCTTATTATTTTACA